CATCCCCATGAGCCATTGCAGGACCGATGCTTGACATCTGGGGACAGAATAATGACACAATGCTAGAGATGCATGTTCTTCTGTGGCTGGGTCTTTCGGCCTTGATCCCCACCTCCCTTCTCTAAGTAGAGTCAGATTCAAGGTTTAATATCACCCAGACTCATCCTAGAAATACAGACAAGCTCTTCAGAACATTTCTTCTTTATCTGAAGTTAGACTGTGAAAACTTTTGAGTGCTAGAAATCATCTTCCAAATTCATTTATTTATTCTTTTAACCACTAAATAAATCTCCTGATGCTAATTGTATGAAGCACTAAGGCACTGTTGGGAAAATTCATGTGCACAAAATAAAGATACTTCTACTTATATATGATATACAGGTCTGACAGTTAAGTTCTCAAACTTGTTGCAACAATGTTGCTAACCTTTTTTGATGTCAGAGGGATTATTCACTATGAATTTGTACCAACTAGACAAACAGTTAACCAAATTTACTATTTGGAAGAGATGAAAAGGCTGCGTGAAAAAGTTAGATGACCTGAACTTTTCGACAATTCGTGGCTCTTGCATCATGACAATGCACCAGCTCACACGGCACTGTCTGTGAGGGAGTTTTTAGCCAGTAAACAAATAGCTGTATTGGAACATCCAACCTACTCACCTGATCTGACCCCCAACTACTTCTTTCTTTACTCGAAGATAGAGGAAATATTGAAAGGAAGACATTTTGATGACATTCAGGACATCAAGGGTAATATAATGACAGCTCTGATGGCCATTCCAGAAAAAGAGTTCCAAAATTGCTTTGAAGGGTGGACTATGCACTGGTGTTAATGCATAGCTTCCCGAGGGGAGTGCTTTGAAGGTGACTGTAGTGATACTCAGCAATGAGGTATGTAGCACTTTTTCTAGGACTTAATTGTCAGACTTCATATGTGTTGTACATGTGTGCATATCATGTATATGTATGTGTGTATGATGTAGCTGGAAGAATCAAGGAAGAGAAAAAAACCACCCATCCACCAACCAAATACATCACTCTAAATCATACGTAAAAATTCTTTATTGTTGAGGAGGCCAGGGGACTCTATAGTCAATGCCGGCTGGGATAGGGGATGCTTTCTACATTATATACTTTCTACATCAGTGTGGGATAGAGGGATGGGGAAGGAGTCAAAGCACAAGAGTGTTACAAGGCTGGGAAGAGAAAGGGAAATAAAAGTGCATGCACCTGGGGACTCAAGGGGGCGACAGGGTGTCTTCATGATGCAGCCAGGAGTCCAGAAGTGAACTATCGAGAACCAAAAAAATGAAATCACATCTTCCGTCCTGTAAAACTCCCTCCAGCCACCAGCTGGGAAAGCAGGGGGAGAAGGGGAGGGGCATCTGTAGAAGAGAAGAGGAGAGAATGGAAGTCTTATGCACAGCTATCCCTCAGCCTTTGAACCAGAGGACTAAACTCTCACAGCTACAGGTGCTTGTACCTTCCCAGCTACGTATTTCTCATTCCACTTATAAACACCTGTGTGCATGGTCTGTTGAGGACTATGCAAAAGATGTAGCTACAAAGTTCATATCACCCTAGCATCCCCATGAGCCAGGGATACACACAGCCCCATCCACTGCGCTGTGGTGCTAATGCTTCCCCAGCCTCACCCAGTCCTTCCTCCTCTTTCCAGAAACCTCCCAGAGCAAGGACAGGCCTGGGGACCACTTCCTTTTTCAGCAATTTCATATGAATGAAATAAGATGATACAATGATCTTTGTTGATTCATCCCATCTAATCTCTTTTAAATGCCAGCCACCAGGGACCTTATGTTCTATTCTTCCTGGCACCTAACAGGTTGAGAATGCTCCGTCAGTGGCGAGATTATGAAGGCTGCAATTATGGGCCTCTGAAAGAGACTAGATTCACCAGCAAGCAGTAAAAGTAGATTTCCACAATGCACTTGTTTCTGCTATTTGTATAAAATACTATGGCAAAATTACACTGTAATTATCTTTATGGCCGATGCATAACGCTGGGGGAGAGTATGTCATCCAGATATAGCTGTCCATATAATTATCTGGCGGTCGGCAGGACTGAAATAACCCTCTAATGATAGCAAAATGATACGGTAAGTACCATGTAATCAGCGAGTTACGGTTATTATGGCTCTTTGCGCCCTCTCACCCAACACTGAATGGGGGGCCAGACCTCATCTCTGGGCCCAGGGAGTCATACACACTTTCATCGAGAGCCAGTTCCTGCTCCTTGGGTCTCCCCTTGAGACCAATGAGTGTGGGTAACAGGGGCAACAGTCCCTCTGTGATAACTGAGGCTTCCCAATCCCTCTCCTTTGCTCCCCCCACTGCTTTCTTTGGAACCAAGTACAAAGGAAGCCATCAGTTGAGCTGCTTTTGCCATGTGTGAGAAGACAGTGTCAAGGCAGAAGGCTCCGTGTTTTGACTAGACACTTCCCTGGGGTACTCTCACACTCGCATACCAAGTGAAAGGTCCATCAGCCCACTCAGGCCTGGGGTCCAGCCCAGCTCTAGGCAGACACGCCAGAGCCAGCCAGGGCAAACACTAGGACATTCTTCACACCTCCCTGACCACAACAATCATAACAAAACCAACAGAGCACTGTGTGCCCAGCACCATTCTGAACATTTTACCTAGACTTAATCCTCAAAACCACAGCCCTGCAAGGTATTATTATCACCCTCATTTTTTCTGATGGGGAAACTGAGGGACAGGTTCAAGAGGACCCAGCTAGTGAGTGGCAGGTCCAGGATTCAAACTCAAGCCATGTTCTTATCCATTATGCTACACAGAGCAACTAAGATACAGTTTCCAGCTACTACCCATTAGATTTCAGAGTTCCTTGCATTTCTTCCTAAATCACCTTTGCGGAGAACTCTACACTGGACCCAGTAACCAGAGATTCTGAATGATCTGAACAGTGCAGCCTGCCTGGGAGGCAAAATGTTATACTTGTGAATTGGATGTGGTACCTGTAATTATCAGATGATGATCTCTTCATCTTTTGCACAGATCAGGAAGAGAATGGAGTCCAAACAACAGAAGTTGCCCATCAGAGAAGCCCCAGAGGCAAGTGGTGAAAAAGAGAGGGTGTGTGTGTGTGTGTGTGTGTGTGTGTGTGTTCGCAGACAAGCACATACCTCTAAGTGTTCATGTGTTTGACTATGTGTTGGGCACTCGCCGTGTACTTTAGGGCAAATTGATGAGCATTAATGCCTGTAGCATCAGAGGAAATGCTTCTCTATCAACCTACACACACACAGTCCCCTCTCCTCTCCTTAATCAACATTCCTCACCTCATTCCACATTGGTAGGATACTTGAGACTGCCAAAGCTGGGGACATTCTCTTGGTTCACATCGATAGGAGAGTCTGGGGTGAAGTAAACACTGTAGTTAGGAGGGATTCTTCTGAATGTGACCTTCACCCTGACCCAACATTGAAAGACTGGCTGTGAAAGGCAGCATTGGGAAGACAGAGTTGGGAAGAAGGGGCATGCTTGGTTTGGGAGCTGGGGAGAAAGCAGAGCCGCCCTGACCACTCCCACTCCCAGCTGCAGCAGGACTATCTTATAAAGGTCTCCCCACTCTGCTCCCAGGGAGGGTTGCACTGTGGATCCAACCTGATTGGGTAGAAGGGACTGAGGAGCCCTCACTGTGACTAAGAAAAGTCCTGCCTTTCCCTCTGAGGACAAATATGAGACATTTGACTTCTGCACATCGTGGCCATTCCTCTAAACCCTTCCAACACACTCTTACCTGGCTGGATATTTCTCTTGCCCATGAGTCCCACAAAGAAGTCATGCATATCACCTGCAGAAAAAAGGCCAACATGTGACAATGAGGGGCTGATGTGTTTCTGAGACACGTGTCAAGTCGTCAGAGGTTGAATTTCTCGTCTCTGTTTCTTTCCCTTGCCACAGCTTAACACCCCACAGTTAGCAGGCTATTCCCTAAGCCCACCCTCTCTGCCCACCTCTCCCTCCTCCCCATTTCAAGAATTCTCTGCCCCAGCAGATGCCTGGCTTAGAATCTTCACAGCCACCAGAGGGTCATTGGTTCCCAATGACCAGCCGGCAGAGGGAGAGTCCACCATGCCCCTCACACCTGCTTCCTCCTAGTTCCCACTGGCCTCTCAGTTCAGGAAGGGCTAGCTGAACCATTGCAGCTGGCATATTGTTCGTGCCAGCTGAGATGGGGCCAGCCAAAATAGTCACTGGGCTCCATGCCCATGATGCTCTGGGCAAGCGGTCAGCAGAGATAGGGAGGAAAAGCCTACTCACGTTTCTGGAAGAGTGACAATTTCTTAGGATCTGTGAAAGCGAGAACAGGTATGTAACTAGGGAATGGAATCTGGAAAGTGGTGATGAGGGGGTGGTTCAGATCACAAGCCTCAGTTATTCACTAGGCCATCTTCAGTCTCCTTCCCGCCTGAAGGGGTCTCCCAGGCCTATTTAATCTTCAGAATCCTGCCCCCACACATCCCTTTCCCCGGGCTGCATCCTACCCTGGCCAGCCTTGCCCAGACTTTTGAGCAATTCATCCACAGAGACTGAGCCGCTGCCAGAGAGTGTCTTGAGCAACTGGTTGATATCCGGGACTTTCTAGGGGAAAGAAAGAAAGAGGGCTGAGGCAGGAGGCTCACACCCAGTCTGTTTACTACTGCCCCACGAGAAACGGCCTCTTCTTGAGGCTGTCACAGCTGAACCTGACATCTCATTTCTTTCAGGATTTCCTCCAGTATACAATGGAAGAGAAGTGGGCTTTCAAAGTGTGTTCCATGGACCAGGAGCCTCACCGCTGGGATCTCCTTAGAAATGCATAATCTCAGCCTTACCCCCACACCTACTGAGAATCCGCACATTAACCAGGCTCCAGGTGACTCATATGCATACCAAGGTTTGAGAAGCCCTGGTAAAGGGAACACATTGGGCATCCCTTAGAGCAGCGGTTCTCAACCTGTGGGTCGCGACCCCTTTGGGGGTCAAACGACCTTTTCACAGGGGTCGCCTAAGACCATCGGAAAACAAAAAGATATTTACATTACGATTCATAACAGTAGCAAAATAACAGTTATAGAGCAGCAACGAAAATAATTTTATGGTTGGGGGTCACCACAACATGAGGAACTGTATTAAGGGGTCGTGGCATTAGGAAGGTTGAGAACCGCTGCCTTAGAGACCAACCAACTGTCCCAGTTTGCCCAGGACTAAGGGACTTCCTGGGATGTGGGACTTTCAGTACTCAAGCTGAGACAGTCCTGACACAACTGAGACAGTTGGACATGCGATCTCCAAGCTGAAGGGCCCCTTTGAGCCCTCTCCCTTGAGGCTGTCTCCCAGCTCCTGCCACCTTGGTTCTTTGCTCCCTGACACATCAGGAACTAATTTGCCCAAGGATGCAGTTGCCCCACTGAGTGAACCATGAATTCCCCCACGCACGAGAAAGGCTGATCAGCCAGAGCAAGTGTCCTCTGGTCTGTGCTCCATGACTGAGTTGCAGACAGGACTCTGTCCTGGGGACAGGTGAGGGTAGGCAGCTGGAGCACATCTGCAACCCTGAAATACCCCCACTCTGCACTGTCTGTGGATGTTTCTGCGTTTCCCACTGCCTCTCGTTCTATTTTCGTCTCCATGGGTTTCTGGCTCTGGTTTTCTCTCCTTCTCCCCTTTCTATTCTGGATTTAGAATTTCAGGAAGGTGGCGTGTTCAGAGTGACACCTCTTCTCCTCCACCCACAAATGACCCTGATTCTGCACCTGCTGCCAAGCAGGGGCTCTTAATTGTCTTGGTGATTTTTTTTTTTAGCAACTTGAGCACAGCAGGATGATTGGTGGGCACACACCACACACCAGTTCATTGCAGCTGCAAAGAGAATATGACAATGGTCATGTTTGGAGATTCTCACCTTGAATCTCAGAGGTGCCACTTTCTCCAGAGTCCACACGTCCCTGGGCTGCTGAGCACACACAGAAGCAGATTGACACAGGACGCACCCCACACAGACCAACCCAGTTGCCTAGGCACTCATATACCCTACCCTCTTCCCACCCCAATGTCCCTCATCCTCACAGACCTGCAGGAGAAGGGGTGGGACAGCAACCTCAAGAACAAGGTCTCAAAGCAAGTCTGTCTCAGAGGAATATACCCAGAAATTCTATCTTGAGCTGAAACTTTGGGTTCCAAGCACAGTATCCAGACCATTTTTGGCACTCCCCATGTGTTTTTTAATGTAGTACAACCGCTGCCACCTGCAAGGCTGTCAGCCTATGGTGCCCTCAGACACCTCACCAGCTGGATAAAGGCTGGTGATCTCTCTCTTTGCCCAGCGCATAGCTTTCCAGGTAGCCACATTCCCCAAATTATTCAAATGCTCTGCCCACCTCCTATAATGAGACGCTAAACAGATTTTAGGAGGAGAGGCAGTTAGACTTCACACACTGAATTCATAATGAGTTCCACCTATAATCATCTTAAAAACATCTGGACCAATATAATTGCTATCATTTCAAACCCCTAAAAAGACTTCCTCCTTGTTCTCCCTCTGTAGTCCTACCCTGAAAAGCCCTATTTTCTTCTTAGAAGAACTTTGAAAATCAGGACCTAACTAACCCATTTTGGGTTTTTGTTTTGTTTTGTTTTTTTCCCCTATGCTGACTAAGCAAAGGCTAGAGGAGGGAAAGGAAGAGAACAGAGGAAAAGGTTGGGATCTTAGGAGTTCACAACGCGTAGATGAGCAGGGGATAAGGGAGTTTATTCAAAACTTGAAAAAAAAACACATAACTGATAGATAAAATAGCAAACAAATGACCATTTGGGAGAGAAATTCTGTGTTTCATTACATCCGGAGGGTAGAGCGGATCTACGACCCCTGCGAAGCGACAGAACCTGAGCTGGACCGTTGAAAAGCTTAGACCACCCTGGCCTACCCCTTGCAGTACTGTCTCATCACCAAGTCGCTAGTCCATCTTATCGTTAGGGCACCTCTTACATTCAAAGTGTCAAACTCACGCAGGGGGACAGAAACACAGACACACCTAGAGGCAGTCAAAACATGAGTTGACAAGAGATGCAGGGAAACCCAGCCCTCTGATGGATAACCAGGTAACTCCCAATCCACCTGCTCCACCTTCCCCCCTACAGCTTTTGGGGCCGGGAGTTCTGCTCCCTTGGTGTTGCCCAGTACTGTGCCAGGGCGGGCCCAGCTGGAGGGGTGCCTTACCTCGTTGCGGACCCCACGAGGTACCGTCTGCTCCTGTGACTCCTCACAGACAGCCCCTGGAGCCAGGCTGAGGGCCAGCATGGCTGCCAACAGCAGGGCGCTCCGCATGGTGCCTAGGAGGGCAAAAGGACAGAAAGGGAAGATGGGAGGAGGACGCAACACAGGGGCAACTGCAGGAAACATTCACAACCAGGAGCCCTGCTCCCCCAGCTTCCAACGCCCACATGCGAGCCCTGGTCTGGGGTGAGTCTCTCTGAGTAGCGGATACATCCCTTGGGCTCCCCTATCAGACATAGTCCCAGGATGTGCACCTGGAAATGAGCAAAGGTGCAATAGGGCCAGGGACTCTGAGCTCTGAAGGAAGATGATAGATTTATAGCCCATGCACAGATCTATTTCCTTAGTTGGCTTGAGGAGGGATCCTGGATGCTATTCTCCAGCACGAGGCAACCCCAAGACTTAGACAAAAACTTTCTAGTATGGAACAATCAGCCTGCACCCAAACATTAGTAGCTCTCAACCCCTTTCTTCCTACAGTCTGCTCACTTCCCAGTACGCTGCTCCCCAATCAAAAGCTGCCACCTCCTTTATTTCCCCTGTCCTTTGGTGCCAGCTCCAATCCTTCTGTTTTGTGCCTACCTGTGGAGCAGCTTTGAGCCTAGAGCTGGATGGTCTAGCAGGATCAGGGAGCTGGCCGGGAGCACTGCTCTGCTCCCCACAAAAGCTGGTGCTGCTGGTGCTGCTGTGAAGAGAGTAGCGGGGAATGGAGGGGATCTGGGAATGTGGCAGGATCTCCGCCCAAGCTCCCTGATAAAGGCTCTGGGAGAGTCTGGGGGAGCTGGGGGAGGGGCTGAGAATCACCAATCCCAGGGTGGCTGGAGAGGAGGGGGGAGGCTGGTAGGAAGGAAGGTATAGGCTGCAGATACACACACACAGACACACACACACACACACACACACACACACACACACACACACACACACCACAAACCCAGGGGGAGGCTGGTAGGAAGGAAGGTATAGGCTGCAGACACACACACACACACACACACACACACACACACACACACCACAAACCCAGCAGTGAGCTGGAGTTATCTGGCAGCCCATTTTCCAACAGCCCCTGAGCTGGGCATACTAAGGAATGATGTGTGTATGGTTTGTCACAAAATTTCCAAGCCAGGTCTAGGTCAATAAATATAGTCCCTGGGCCTCTTTCTCCTCCTTGTTCACCCACCAGCTCCTTGCCCTTTAAACCCTCGGACTAGACTGCCAGGCCAGACCAATTTCAGGCTGGCGCTTCTCTAGCCCTCCCACTACCAGGACGGCCAGGCTCAGGCCCCTGAGAATGGACAGGGAAGTCTGGCATCCTCTCAAATCCTCATTTCACCCTCTGTTCTTCTCTCAGCTGGAGCAGAGCCATCACCTTGATCCTCAGAAGAACTGAGGGTCAGTACTCTCCCTGCTATTGAATACAGAGACCTCCAGTGTCGGGCTGTCTTCACCACCTCCCCAGTGCCCGTGTCTCTCCCCACTCCACTCCTTCTTGACCCCTGGATCAGCCTGATTTAGTTGCATCCTTCTAGAGTACTCACTTCTAGTTCTCCCACTATAATCTCGGAAAGGAGGAACAGAACACTACAGCTAAGCTGTTCCCCTATCCTCACCCCTCCAACCCCAGCATCAATCTCTTAATTGCTTCTTTATTTCCTCACAGTTACATTTTCCCCTACTCTTCTGTCTCCCTGCAGCGCAGGCACCGTCTTCCCTGACCTTTCAAGTCTTTGGTTTACACCCCACACTGTTGAGGGGGCTTATGCTGCTTATTTCACACCCAAGGTAGAGCCTTAGGGGAGAGTCAGAGTCATAACCAGGATCAGAAAGGAGACACAGAGAGAAAAGATACTGCTGAAAGATGAGGAAAGAGGCAAAGTGAAAGCTGCTTCAGGGCGATTCGTCATTCCCAGTGTTTATAATGGGTTCAGGGTTTGAACATTTGCAAGGTTGACACAGAGCAATCCATTTGATTTTCATCAGCACCGCCCTATGAGTAGGAGATATTCCCATTTTTCAGATGAGGAAACTGAAGCTCACAAAGCTCAGTCACGTGCTCCAGGACATGCAGCTACTGAACAACATCTTCAAATTCAGGTTTTCTCACTCTAAACCTCCCCTTTATTTTATTGCACTGGTATGAGCTTTAGCCAACAAGGGAGCAGCTAACTCTCCCAGAGGAAGTGGTGGCCCACTTCCCCAAGAGACCTGGAGGTTTGGGACCTTGTACTCTCCTACGTCTTGAGATTGGGGAGAGGGCTATAGCTCTGTTGTGTGTTTACTACAAAGCCTCCTGCTCACCAACACCCCACCCCCACCCAAATCACCCTATTTAAAATTACTACCACTCCATACTCCACATCCCCCACCTTTCTTTTCTTCATGCACTTACTATATCCAACATACTAAATACTTTACTTAGAGTCTGTCTACCTCATCCCCCAACCAGAATGTCAGCATCACAAGGGCAAGGACTTTTGTCTGTTTTGCTTGCTATTGGATCCCTAGCTCTATAGTGTTTGGCATATAATAGGTGCTCAATAAAAATGTATCTATAAAGCAAAATGGAAGCCTGAGCCCAGCTTCTTGTCTTGCAGCCCACCATGTGGGTCATCCACAGAGCCTCTCAAGCACTGCTAGGGACTGAAATGTTTGTCTGCCCCTCCACACTCCTAACACCCCACCCACCCTGGGACTCAAGCCATACTGGCTGCACAAGGCCCCATGCTCACCCTTGAATGAGGGCAGCAGCAGAGTCTTGAAGCCCCTTTTATTATGTGATAGGCTACTGGGGCCTCATCAAAAGCTTCCTATTACCCACCTAATTACAGGGTGAGCATGCAGCGTTGGGAGCCTTTGGTGGGACAACGGGTAGAAGTAGGGGGCTGTTTACATGTAAATGGCATGACTGGTTCATGTTTTTAGAAGCTCAGTGCTGTTCTAATTGGACCTAGCCATCTCCCCCTTCTCCCCTTCCTCCCCCTACCCATCTGGATGAGGTCCAAGATAGTCAGGCTGGAGGAAGTTGGGGGTGCAGGAGGAGGAAGACTGAAGGTTGAGGACTAAAGCTTCCTGGGTCCCATCTCTGTGTCAGCCTCCCACCCCCCACCAACCCATCGATCCCTACCCCCGAGCCCTGGCACTAGGGAAGGAGGGCTTCGGCAAAGGTCCACCATGAATAATGTCCTTTGATGATGTGGCACCTCACAGAGTACGGCAGGAGTCAAGGATGGGGGGAGCAAGGGGATGGCAAGGAGAACTGATCACCCCTTCATCTCTGGGATTAGCAAACACTTGAAAGAGCTGATGCTAAACTAAATCAGAGAGGTTTTAAAGGAAAGAAGCTTTGGAGGTATCCACCAAATGAAAATGAATCAGGAGGCTTCATTAGAATTAAATGACAAAGTTTTATTCAAGGATCTTAAGATTTGCAAATCAGAAAAAAAAAAAAAACCACTGCCAAGTAACACCTAGTGTTCCAAAGGGAAAAAAGTTGAGTGTTCCTACAGTAAAAAGTACAATCTTGAGAAGAATCAGTCCTGCATTCTTAGCCTCCGCATTGGTCCAAGATGGTAATCTTTCAGATGTCTGATGGTCTAGATAATGGACGTCAGGTGGTCTGGACATGCGAACATTTTTTCCTAGGTTCTTCAGAGAGTTATCTATAGGAATTTTGTATATCTCCAGCACTGATGCACAACTGGAAAGTTTAAGTAAACTTAAGTAACAGGCTAAAGTAAAGTAAAATCTATTCCTGTTTCAGCCCATTCTGACTTAAGCAATTTTGTTAGCTTGGCTGTGGTGATTCCATTTTGTTTCTTTACTCTTTCCTCAGAGGGCTAGGGGCAGGCCAGGCTTCATTTTGCCCACAAATCATATGCAATGGCACATAAAGTGGGTGTTGCAGCTACAGAGCACCTACGCCTTTTTTCCTTTGAACACTTACTCTTTATTTGAGCCACATCTCAGATGCTGTCACTAGCCTAGAGAAGCAGCATTCCTAGCAGATCCTCCTTCTGGACCACCCTGCCTTGTTGGGGAGGGTTGGGGGTGAGGCCAGGAAAAGGTGTGTACAGTTGAGCTGAGATGAGATGAGACGGGTGGGGAGGGGGGCGAGTTGGCTGTTCCCAGGGGTAGAGGCAGAGCCCACCCAGCATGTGCTTTGCATACGAATCACCGTACATGCCCACCACATGCACAGCTTGGGTGCAACATTTGGACTCCTTCAACATCCTGGAGGGGTGCTGCGGGGTGAGCAGGGAGGGGCCAGGCCATATGTGACACTGGGTGAAGAATGGAAGGATGACAACTTCTGCATCCTGCCGAGTCCTACAGCCAGGAGACATCTGGAAAACAATCCACAGAGGAAGGAATTCAAAGAGCCCCTCAGAGCCTGGGAAGAAATGGCTAAGCCAAAAAGGCGTGAGCTGAGAGATGCTGGAATGGCTCCCCGTGGGGGTTAGGATGGCTAGTGCCCCTCAGAGGCTGAACCAACCTAGACTCTGAGAATGCTGGACTGGCCAAGTGGGGTGAGTGTGGGGCAGCAGAACCCCAGCTTCTCCCATCGAGACGGAACCGATTCAAACCTTACAACGCAGGCAGGGAAACAGCCCCTGGGAATGAAAACACACACTCCTGGGCTCTAGAAGAGAAGAGAGGCAGAGACTGGAAAGAGGAAGGAGATGGAGAGTCAAGAAGGAGAGGAACCCTCACCCTTCCTCAAAGTAGCATCTACCCACCTGACTGGTGGGGGGAGGACAGGAGAGAGAGCAGGGACCCTGGCCCTTCCCCCTCCCAGCATCCGTAGCCCAGAGAGCTGACAGTGCCTTCAGCCCCAGAAAAGGAAAAGCAGAGTAGGGAGCAGCAGCTGCATATTCTCCTAAAATTGCTTCTGAAAATGACCAGACACTTCCCTGGAAATGTGATGACAATTTGGGCCCTGGGAGCAGGAGATGAGGTGGAGAGCGGGGGAGGTCAGGCTCTGGTCACCATCCCCTCTCGACCAGACGGGGATCTCCTCAGCCAGGTTCTGAGAAGTCAAGGATGGGGGGAAGCTGCCGTGGGGGGTAGAAGGCTGGACAGAGTCTGAGATACCTCCACTTGAGACACATCCCCCCACAACAGCTCTAGTCCCTCACCCTCCTGGGAAGAGCTGACTTCCTGGGTCCTATCTCAGCTCAGAGCAGATCGTGCCAGAACGCGGGGCTTGTGCTCAGAGAGCAAGATTAATCTGCAGGCAAGAAGAGAAGTCAATCAGGCCTCCCCCAGCATGATTACCTGGAGCTGTGAGCTGCCTGTGGATGGAAGTTGGGTAGAGAGAGACCCCAGTCTCAAGGCACAGTGAGCGCAGTGGTGGAGACAGAGAAAAGGCAAGAAAGGTACAGATTGTGAAAGGAGGGAGAGAGACATCCAGGGACAGAAACAAACGCAGCCATTTGCACATTTTCACAGAGCACAGATCTAAATTTTACTGCAAATATAGGAGCTGTTTGTTCCCTAAAGGTAGACACCGGGGTGGGAGAGGCTGAAACAAGACAGAGTCTATGAGGAAATACCTATGAAGGAGGAGATATTTAAAGCATTATACAAAATATTACATATTAATATTAGAGCGCACAGAAACGGGGACAATGAGATGGTGTGAGACAGCTGAAAACCGAGAAACAAATAATGACAATGACACAGGAAAAATAAATGAAGACAAGAAGGAAGGGGCTTCAGTCATAGAAATGGGAGAGTCTGGGTGGG